TAACCTATTTTCATTTCCATTTGAGATTGATAGTTGGGGTATACTTCAGCTAAAGTGGCACTAAATAAAAAGGATACAGCTTTTCCTGTGATAAAGAATCTCAGAAATCCAACCAAAAAAATACAACACTGTTACCCCATGCATAAAAAGTAACATCATGGGCTTAGCTTTCCAGAAAAACTGAACTAGTTCTTTTATTGTACCTCTCATCAAATCAGTTACGCTACCTGTTTCACAAAAATAGAGACGTGAAAGTATCAGCTGAAGGTGAGTCAGGAAGCCAAGCAAAACTGAAGATGGAGCCCACCTCTTCCAAGAGCTAGCCCTACAGTGAACCCATTAGAGCACAATCTAGAATGATGGTTACTTTTAATTTTGTAATGAAGCATTATGCTGTATCTTCCTACAAGTCCATATTTGCAACCCCAATAACAGGTAGAAGGTAGCATATTATGTGAGCTATATGTATGGAAAAATAGATTTAGACAGACTGGCTCATAGTAAACGTGAAGTGGAAATGTTTACATTTCATGTAATGAAAAGAACTATTACTAAATTTACAAGTTGATTTATGTGTAAGCAACATAATTACAGGCAGTACCAAAAGGCCAGAGTCCTACAAAGCTGGGCAATTCACCAAGCCCAACAAAAAGCTCCCCAAAATTTTAAACTGCAGTATCCTAAAATATATAAAAACACACAGAACAATAAAAAGAAAGCATGAATATTTGGGTCTTTTTTTCTACACTAACATACCATCGGAGTGAAGTAGCTACTTAACAGTTGTTGACAAAGTAGAGGGGAAAGAAACAAAGTTCCAATGTAGTTATACCTCTGCTCCAGGAAAATTTGTCCACAACACGAATAATTAAAAAAAAAAAATATTGCAAAACAGTGAAATATGTTGAGTTGGTTTAACATAAAACAGTCCAGCCTAGTCTGGTAAAGTCATTTCTAGCTCCACTTAACAGATTCTACCTGTATGACAATGAAATTTGAATCTGAGTTCCAAGCATTGTTTTGCAACCAACTATGCACTGGTTTTAGAATATTTTCTTGTAGCCCATAGTCTGCTCAGAGTAACTCACAAAGAAGTAAAAAATGCTGTACTGAAATCAAGATGCAGGAAACCAGCAATTTTTTTTCTTTCATCCATAAATCTATTACTAAGAGGAAAGAAATAAAGCCCTTTGTTTTAAGATCATCACAACTAATGTAAAGTGACTGTCTATTCCAGGATCTTTTTATGGAACTATGGAAAAAAAGTCAACCTACTCTGAGTCATTCAAAACTTTAAAATTACCAAAAAGCTTACAATTTTCCAGCCTAATATTGCTAATATATCCCTGAAAATGGAATTCTATTTATAATGTAAAAACTACAGCTATTTTTAAAAAAATCTTTGCATTTCTTGTTCAATCACGTCAACAGTGTTTACAAATATCACTAGATTAATCTATCTGGTGCCTTCCAGATAAGTCTGCCCCTCTTGCAGAGATCTTTTTGGAGATAAAGGTCATGAAGTGACCTTGCAGATAGGAAATTTTAGTTATATGCCCGATTCTGACTTTGAATTGCTGGGTGAACATGGACTCGTCACTATATTTTATTTTTAGAAAAATTAATCTATTTATTTTTAAAAAAAAAAATCCTTATAAAGGGTTCAATACCACCTGGAGTGTTTAATCCGGTCTCCTGCATTACACAAACCCATTCAAAAAAAAGCCTGAAACATTTCATCAACATTTTCCATGTAATTTAAGTTGAATTTTAAAAAGACACAAAACTTGAATGCACAACAGCAAGAGAACAGAATTCAAGGATGCCAGCCACACTGTGTCTGCAACTACAGAAGCGTTAGATGAAAATACCTACATCACCTCAGGAATACAGAGGGGTGGGGTGGGGGGAAGAAACCCCCCCTCCCCCATTTGACTGGGGCAAACTGATTTAACTTTGAACACAGACACTAGACCCATATGCCAGGCCAGGACTACTCTCCCAATACCACAGGACAAATCAGACGCCTCACTCAAAATCCTAGCTTTAGTCAATAGCAAATTGCCTCTGCTTCAGAAGAAAATAAATTATGCACCAAGATGAGAAAAATAAAAAAACAAATATTCCCTTCCAATCTCTACAGGATACCAACAGTAGCCCTGAAGAACATAACTTGTAAAATTGGAAACTTTATGACAAATAACAATCAAATTGGCTGCTTCATCATCTTTCTCAGAGATTTCTGTTATTCCAGTACCAAGAAAACTTATATGCTCATTTTTAATTTTCTGACTCCAGGATCAACCTTATCATCTTACACAGTCTTTTTACATAAATATGTAAAACATCATCTTGAACCACTGAGTTTCTTTGTCCCCATTACTGATTTTGTAGGACTAGACCTCACCCTCTGATTTTCA